CAGACAGTAAGGTGTGTTTGCAGGGAATAATGGTACGAGGGAGAAACACGTCTTGTCAGAGCGTTCGTTATCGGCGTGTCAGCTGATAGATTCTAAAAGATACCTATTTAATTTTCTCGCAAGTTAAAAATGATTTATTTCACTGAACATTATTTTGGGTTATGCTTTCGTTTTTTATATATTTTTGTATATTGTGCGTTTGCAATAATATAATTATCAGTATAACTGCGGTTATATTGCCTTACATCGTGACCGCTTCCCGTTTTAAACCTTGTCTTAAATGATAACTGCCAACTTCTGATTAATTGTTCCTTTATTATCAGTGCATTATCTGCTCTGAATGCCCCATTCCATGGAATAATCTGGTATATTCAGACTGCGAAGATGGACTTAATCGAAATGCAAGTGCGAACCTGCATGCTCTCTCTTCAACATCAGGTCCCAACTCATCTGACCATACAAGAATTTGTTATTTTTTCTCATTATACTTCAGTACCCATTTAAATGTAGAACAAGTGGAATACTCATATTCAGACCGATTAATTCGTCACATATTCTTCCGGTTGCCTTAGTTAACTCCAAGACAATCACGAAAAAATTGAACACGACTCACGTGGACAACATTTTTTTTAAAATATCGATATTGAATATTTGTTGGAGCTCTTCAATTGTTGACAGCAAAGGCAGAAATAAAAAAAAAGAAGCAATTGTGGATGGAGACAGTGGGTTGCAACCAGACGCGTCTAGTTGTGCTTGTGAAATGAGTTGCAATTTTAGAGAAATTTTTTGGGTCAAAACCAAAAAGACACTAAATAATACTTCTCAATATTAGAATTGTGAAACCACATACGTTACCTCATTTATTCTCCACAGCAATTCAGAGTGTAACATTATTCTTAAGGAAAACAAATCATTTAAATATGCGTAGAGTAATGTTACTTTGTATGCAAGCAATTTGAACACTTGAACAACTTGGAATGCTTATTCGCACACATATCAAGTACATAAACAGTCATCCTTCGGGTTGAGATCTTCTATCTCGTTTCATTCCGGTTCCACAAAGCGGCCCTGGAACAGGACCGTCCCCGTTTGGTCGTCCAAAAGGAAGAACATAAACGGGTGGTCGGCCCGGAAGAAGTTGTACAAGTCGGCCGCAGTCAGAAAGAACACTCCGCCTGCAAGGAACGAGGGCACACAGATTAATTGTGAATTCAATGAGATAAAATAACAATATGCGGAATATTACGAGAGAAATTAATGAAGAGAAACACTATCCCAATGAATTCGGAAGTGCAAGCATGTAAGTAAAGTACAAACAAACAAAGTTTGGAAGAGAAAATACGAATAAATATTAATCTATTATAGTGATATCTCATTGAATGCACCACTCATTAAATAAGTAACACGGTCGCGTAAACAACACAGACCTATTATTATAATAAGACTGTGTTATTTATTAATTTTGACTGATTTCTAATCTCACTTTGTACGACAGTTTTTATATATACCGAGTTTTCTGAATCGTCCTGCAGAAGAGCCGAGGTTCTACACCCTTAAAAGGTTTTTAATTTCAGATTTCTTAAAGATTTTCACTAATTCAAAAAGATTCGTTATTATAATCTACGAATTGAGTGAATGATTTTTAAATAGTTTAGTAGAGGTCATTGTTAAATCGCTCAGTAATTTTTACACTTTTATTAAACGCTTGAGTTTTTGTTTGCAATATAGTAATTTACGTACGAGTGTGCCGAACAATTAAATAAAATTCCAAAGTTTGAAACAACTTACGTCATTCTATTCTACCTAATGAACATAGTACTTTTTTAAAAACAATTCAACCATGATAAAGAATCTCATATTATAATCCTACTAAAATAACTTCAGTAAACGACTTGCGTCTAGTTTTATTGTATTTAGTAACTTAAATTATGTATTAATTATAAATATGACTAAAGTATGAATTTGTTCCTGCAAACACCATTAATCTAGTCTAGGTGCCTCATTTATAAGATATATTTCATTCATAAGATCAATAAAAGAAACCGGAAAATAAAACGTTTACAAGAGTATTCTTTGATTTGACTTCGATCATTTCGACTGCTATGTTAGCAAATACAGTCTTTATTTCAATCAAAAATATCACTATTTCTGGAGTTTTGTACTTCTCTTTAGAGAAAATTGTCAATTTCAAATGTTGTTTACAACGGTGAGTGAATGAGGCAATGGCGATTCGTGTTGTTTTGGTTGGGTGTGCGTACGAGACACTGACCCAGTGACTCGAAGCGCCCGCAAAGATGGCTAATAGATTCTGGGGAAAGTAGTGGAGTCATCACACTGAGTGTGGCTCGGCAATCTGCACCGTCAGGACAGAAGAAGATACCAGGAATGAGGCAGATAAAACGTCATCAGAGATAAGGAAGGCTGCTTCTTAATAGGGAGACGACACCAGTGGCCATTAGGCCGAAGCTTGGTTAGTTCAAATATTTTGTCCTACGAAATTCAGATGATCGCGGTTTGGCGTGCCATTTATTTCAAAAGAAACGGCTATGCACTTTTAATTTAAATTAAGATTAAAAACATTGACACTCATTTACATATTTGCAATTCATAGTATCGTGTTGATGATAAGCTAATTTTATTAGTAAGTTGTAATAATTAAATAATAGATTGTAACAAAATGAAACAATAAATGAATTTTACCTGATGCAATAGCAGATATTATTGCATGTTCAGAATAATTGGTCGTGTGTCATCACATCATACATTAGCAGAATACGCGTTGTACTACATATAAAATCTTTTAATTTATTATTAAACTTCTACCGTTTACTTGATATAATTATTAAAATAATGATAATAATAATAATAATAATAATAATAATAATAATATAATGATTTTTTGACAACTAGGCTTTTAATTATCACGTCACAGTTTTTGAGAACTGCTATAAAAATCCTGAAAGGATTGGATAGAGAATCAATATACACTGATTTATTATATGGTATTTTGATTTTATAGTATTTTGTAATATAGATAATTTTACATTGTATATCACTAGTTCACCATTTTTGAATGTACAAACCTCTTCTTGTACCTTTTGAACATTTTTTCTTTTTCGTTTATTTCTACAGTTACGTTTTTGTTGTATTCGACTCCGACTGTGTATTATTTTAAAAGTATTTTTCGGGTCGGTGATAGTTTCTTGTAAGTTAAAATTATTTCAATATAAAATCAATTTTAAAAATATACCTCTAAAACTATGTATGATTTTGGTACAAACAATAAGAATGATTCTCTCATTTCATTATTTGTCATTTGAAACAATCATCTATTTTGAACTTGTACTCGTAATTTTGTGAACTCAAGAAACATTTTATCATCACTGATTTAGATCAATGATGAATTAAGTTATCATTTTATGACTTTCATTTTTAATTAGAAAAACATAACTATTGAATGTTCGTGTAACAAATAGAGGAATCACAGTATTCCTTGTTTGTAATGAAACTAAAATTTACTTCAGTTGTTCCTTATCGTGGATCATGTAACAAGGAGCATGTAATATTTCATTACGTAAAAACACCACGTGGCACTACAATCTCTTTCGATCTTTTAAGATTAAAAGGTAGTTGGTCATACATCAATATTGAAGTCAAACGAACCTCCTTTGAATACTTCTATTACAATTTATCGATTACATAAACAGTCATTTACATGATTAAAATGGTTTTAATTTTTTAAATTTTAAATACAGCGAATGGGGAGATCGGCAATATTTCAAGCAAGTGAAAGAAAACTAACTCCCTAAAATTACACTTCCCCCTTATTCTGTGTTGTTTATATTCAATTTTTGTATTTTAAAGAAGTAATGAGCAATGTTTGGAGAGTGAAATAGCCCTAACTTCTACTTTTACCTCTCTGCATTTCAGTTTTGGCAACAAAATCGTTTAGACGATTTTATAAGTTTCAATATTATTATTTTTATAACTTGGTTAAACTTCAACAAGAAAAATGTATATTATTTAAAGATGTGTTCCTCAAAACCTAAAGATATAAAGAATAAAATGCATAAAGATTTCTGTATAGCAGTGTAGTGATATCTCATAAAACATTTTTATATTTTTTCAACGAAATATTTTTGGAAAATTTTTATTTTAATAATAATTTTTATTCATCTAGAGCTAATTTTGTGAAAAGCGATATTTACGACTTCTTGCAATTGATTTGGGATTTTATAGATGCCGATGTGAAAAGTAAAGCTCTTCTATAATGGCCAACCATTTATATGCAAATCTACTACATAACTGAAGATTTGTCTTATAATTTGAGCTCCAGAGTGAATCATATTATTTCAATATCTTTCAATATCGCAGCATTGACCCTGCTGGTGGATGTCTAAAGATAAATCATGGGTACTCCTACAGCACACCCTAACGTACTATCACAGTTCTGATTACATTATTTGTTTTCTTTAGATTTCCAGTCAATTAGACAAACAATTACCAAAGGTGACCTTCAGATTAACCCCATAAATAAATGACGCCAAATCTAAATATCGTGAAAAAATGTATTGCTAGGCAAATATTAATGTTTTAAATTCCGTTGCTTATGCTCATATTTATATCCTTGTGTGTTTAATTGTGAGAAAGCTATTTTTGGAACATTATACAGATTACATATAAATTGTTACTTAACATTCAGTTCAAGAATTATGTGATTTGAAGATGGTACGATAAGATACATTATGTAATACACTAACATAAATGTATCTTATTCCTAATGCACATATGCTCTTAAGTGAATTTTGAATCAGATGTCAAAGCAAGAACCGCTTTCACGACGAAAATGCGTATTGTACTCATGTTTGATGTCTGATGACGGTTGTCCTGGAATAAATCTAAGGCATGCGAAAGGATCGAATACAAACACTCTTTTCAATGTGCACGTGATGAGAAATCCCGCCCAAAATTTCATTGTAGCATTTGTAAAATTAGGACCCAAGATTGACGGCTTGGACTTTCTAGTTTGGCAATTTTGACTTCAAAAAATACTGGACGTTGTGGCTATGATCTATGCGTGGTAACGGAGATGAACGTTCTGGCGTAGCCAAAATGGAACAATAAAATCAAACACGATATCGTCATTGCCCATGGGGAGGTAGTTTGAGAGTTCATTGACCTACCAAGCATTAGTGCAGGAAAAGTTGCCTTTCAATCAGGAACCTCACGTCAGAAACGTCCCATGGAGTAACTTTGTTATATGAAATTTCCTACCGCATGTTTGTTGGAAGAAAGGTAAAATCTTCGATCATTCCTACAAGCTCTATAAATTTCTAAGAAATATGAACCACCTGAACACGCAACATACCGGCTTTTGTACCGGCTTTTGCCTTTTAATGCGCTGGAATAACCATATAAACGACATTTCGAAACTCTTTGCTCGAAGGCGATGAGTGTCTGACCTGTGGCTGCGCTGGCTTCTGTGCCCTCCTCGTTGACTTCGATGGTAGCCTTCTGCAGAATCTCGTTCATGAAAATCGGGCTAGATGCTATGCCCGAAAAGTCGGCGCTGCCGTTGAACAGCCCTCCCAAACCAAGCTGCAAAACATGGACACTCATAAACAACAACCAAGCACAACAACAACAATAATAATAATAATAACAATAATATAATAATAATAATAACAATAATATAATAATAATATAACAATAATATAATAATAATATAATAATAATATAATAATAATATAATAATAATATAATAATATAATAATATAATAATAATATAATAATAATAATAGTATTTTAATGATAAAAATACAAATGTTGATAATGATAATCATGACTGATAATCGGGGCGAAGATAAACGCGATGGCGACGGTTGCGACGACAAT